TGTAGTCCCAGCTACTTGGGAGGCTGAGGCAGGAGGATCGCTTGAGCCCAGGAGTTTGAGGTTGCTGTGAGCTAGGATGACGCCACGGCACTCTAGCCGGGCAACACAGTTGAGACTCTGTCTCCAAAAAAAAAAAAAACCCCTAAGCTTAACTGTGTATGAGAGCAGAACACTAGTCACCTAAGGTGAAAGTATCCCAGTGCCCAAGGGACAGAGAAGATGCTGGGAACGTGGCTGCCTTTGCTGCTGTGGTCATACACTGATAGGCTACCAATGGAAGGCAAAGTGGCAATATCTACCAAATGATAAATCATATTCCTTTGACCCAGCAATTTCCTTTCTACTAATCTACCCTGCAGTTATACCTGCACACGTCTGACACAAGGTCACACACTGCAGCATTACGCAATAAGAGAAGCCTGAACACAAGCGAGCAGACAACTGGTTCACTAAACTGTACCTACAGCTCCACATGCTGGCATCCTAAGGAGTGTTTACCGATCTCACACTGCCTTGCCTCGAATTTTGAACCATGTGAATATCAAATACATATTGTAAAAATAGAATCTGCCCCTCTCTCCATCTTTTCTATACTGTTACATTAGTGGAGAGGCAGAACTTTGCCGGAGGTGGCAGAATGCAGCAAAGGGGGCTTTCCTCAGGGCTTTGCGTCTCCCTAAAGGATTTCCCCAAATCAAGACAAATCCTGAAACCATGTTTCTTTCTCCAGGCCAAACTGTGATAAACACTGAGACCAACCTGACAAAGTCCTCGGGAAGCAGGTCAGGACTAACACCCAGAGAGTCGAGCACATCATTTCGTATCTGGAGCAACAGCTCAGAGTCTTCCCCATACGCATCACAACTAGGATCTCTTCCTTTATCTGTGCGGAACTTCAGGAGCACTGGGAGAGGGAAAAAGAAGGTAGGTTATAAAGCCACTCTCTGTATCATGAATGTTCATAGATATTGATCATTAAAAAATTATTTTATTCTGTAGGAAGTATTACATTAATTAAAATGTGGGCCAAGTGAAAGGTAATACATTTTTCATTTATTCAACAAATATAGTTAGATAGGCAATCAAATCATTACAAAAGCAACTAACCTTACTGTGAGAAGTGCTGGGATAGCATAATAGAGGGTCTGACAGCATCTGCAGGGTGGTGTCAAGAAGGCTTCTCTGAGGAAACAACAATTGACTGAAGTGTGTGTGAGTTTCTGGGGGGGAGGGAAGCAGAAGCTTCCAGCAGAGGGGAAAGTTTCTATTAAGACCCAGAACAGAGGTCAGGAGCGGGAGGCATGAATTCTAGGCAGCAGTTCAAAGGCTGCTTCAGCCACAGAGGCCAGCCAAATACTCAGACTCATCAGACAGGCAGGTCAACAGTAACAAAACCTCCCTTAGTACAAAAACTATGTCAACCCCCAGAAATGGATGTTTAATTTTGGTTGTGAACCGGAGGAAAGTTTCAGATCATGGCTGCGAGTGAGAGCTACTGTGTAAGGAGACCCCAACAAGGCCAGAACTTTTAGCCCAAACAAAGACACAGACAGGAACATAAGACTGATGAAAATACAAGCATCTTCCACTGCCAACTACACCTTGTCCACGAGATTACCTACATGCCAGGTGGGCAGGAATTCTTGTTCCCTACATGCTCCCCAAGGAAGGGGTACAGCTGGCCTGAGGCTTGTCCCTAAGGGCAACACTGCTTCTCCCATAGCACACAGGCTGTTTCAGGGCAAAAGTAGAAACGTGGATCTTCTAGGTCCAAGCCCCGGTGCTCTGAGACAGCACTTCATACCTGGAGACGGGGCTTTACAGTTTGCAAAGTACTTTCACTTGTGTCTCATCAGTATTTGCTGACTGAAAAAGTAAACTTACTCAGCAAACTATACTCTCTATAGTACAAGGGATTCCCTCTCTAAAAATTTAGGTACATCGAAATCTGATAATCTTAAATTCCTGGGAGGCTCTTTAAAAATGCAAGTATTTGGAACCCAGACTAAAGAATCAGAGTCGTACTTTTTAAAGATCCACAAACAGTTTTGGTGATGAGCAGACTGGGATGAGAACCACTTTCTAAGTAACAAGAATTCATTCATCCAGGCCGGGCGCGGTGGCTCACGCCTATAATCCTAGCTCTCTGGGAGGCCAAGGCGG